CCAGGAAGGATACCATGCTGCAATCCCTCCTCTTTCAGTCTCCTCTAGGGATTTCGGACATACAGACTCCTATTTCCTCAGTAGGAACATTTCTCAGTGAGAGGGAGAACATGGAAAGAGATATGGAGTTTGAGGAGACAGGAAACATTGTGAAATAATCAGCTGGGAGAGCTGGTAAATGAATCAACCAGGGAAATGTAACAGAATTGCCCAGGGTCCCCTGGGGTTTGTGGTTATAGATTTAATCTGAGACAAGTCAACATGGCTGCACGTTTTTCACCAGCCAAAATCGGTGGAGTGCAAGTGCAGAATGGTAGATTTAACCAGGGTTGCAATTCTGCCAGACGCTGAGGACAAAGAGAGACAGAACGAAGGAGCTGCAGACGCCATTATAACCATAAGCCTTATAACTCCACAGCAGAAGGGAAATGAGCGTTTGTGGGGTAACGATGGAAGATGAAAAAGTGATAAGGTCAGAGCCAGCAGGTGGCATAGTGGTTACGACTCTGGACTCCCACATGACTGACTGTAGTTTAAGTCCCAGACTTGGTGGCTTGAAAATGACACTGGGCATGTGTGCATGTGTACCCAAAATCCCACGAGGAGAATGGAGGAAAAGAGATAGCAGCATGGCCATCCTCCCAGGGGATGACTTCTTACTTTCTCTCTCTCTCTCTCTCTCTCTCTCTCTCTCTCTTTCTCTCTCTCTCTCTGTCTCTCTCTCCAGCAAGCATAAGTGCTCTATGGCAAAAATCTTTGGAAAAAAAAAAAAAAAAGAGTGGTAAGGTCAAGGGATAGAAGGTACCAGTAGAGTTAAGAAAATGCTAGAGTGGGGGACGAGTAAATGGCGTAGCAGTTACATTGCTGAACTCCCACATGGCCAACCTCAGTTCAAGTCCCAGATCCAGTGGCTTCAAATTCACGCTAAGCGTGTGTGTATGCGTGCGTGCCCAAAATCCCGGGAGGAGAACACAGAAGGGATTGCAGCATGGCCATCACCCCTGGAGGGGTGATTTCTTGCTTTTTGTCTCTCTGGCAAGTGCAAGCACCCTATAGCAAAAATCTCTCCCCCACTCCCCCCCCAAAAAAAAGGAGAAAAAAAAAAAAGAAATGCTGGAGTGAAGAAACTAAATAGAGGAATAGAAATAGAATAACAGGAGAGGGGAATCACAGACAGGGAGGCTTGGGACCAGCAGTTAGCATAATGGTTATGTCGCAGAACTCTCATGTGGTCGACCACGGTTCAAGTCCCTGACCCGATGGCTTAAACTCACACCAGGTGTGTGTGCATGCATGCCCAGGATCCCGAGAAGAGAATGGAGGAGAAGGGACTGCAGCGTGGCCATCCCCCCGCCAAGGGGTGATTTCTCACTTTCTGTCTCTGTCTCTCTGGCGAGCACACGCACCCTATAGCAAAAACCTCTCCAAAAAATAATAAATAAATAAATAAATAAAAAGAAATTATTTTAAAAAAATAAAAAGACAGGGAGGCTTGAGATTGAGAATTTAGGGGCCCGGCAGCTGGCGTGGTGGTTAAGGACGCTAGATTCCCACATGGCCAACCACTGTTCAAGTCCCAGGTCTGGAGATTGCTTTCTCATTTTCTCTCTCTCTCACACTCTGTCACTCTCTGGTCAAATTTTTAAACATAAAGTTAAAATAAAAATAACTCTTTAAAAAAAGAAATTGAGAATTTGGAAGTGATGTGTTCTTTTGGTAATGACAAGGTCTAAAGTGTGAACAGAGGAGTGGGATGCTGAGATGGAGGAGGACTTTTTTTTTTTTTTTTTTGGTAGTTTTTTGCTATAGGGTACATGCACTCTCCAAAGAGGCAAAGAGAGAAGGGACGTGAGAAATCACCCCCCAGGGGGGATAACCACACCATACTCCTTCTCCTCCATTCTCCTCTCAGGATTTGGTGCATACACCCACACGCACCCAGTATGTTTTCAGGCCAACGAGTCTAGGACTCAAATCACAAAATTAGCCATGTGGGATCCAGCCCCTTATGTACCATGCTATCTGCTGGCCCCAAGGACAAATCTTTTGAAATGAAAAGTCCAAGAAATTGAAGGGTCCAGGTGTTGGATGAGTTGTCCATGTGGGCACTGAGGCCACCAAGAATCACAAAAGAAGAAGTGACGAGAACAGTGAGCCAGGAGCTGAAGAATGGCAGGTGGCAGATGAGCTTCCAAGGAGCTGGTGGTGGGGGTGACTTAGAAGAAGCAGCTAAGATCTAGAAGAAGCAACAAAAAGGAAAAAGGTCATTTCCTGCCTTTCCAGGTCTAAGGGAGTTAGATTTGGAAGAAAAAACAGTCACTGTTTGATAAGGTTAGGGAGTCAGAGAAGTCAGAAGATGCAGAGGATTTTGCAGGTAAGAGAGTATGAGGTTCAAAGATTCATCTGTGTTTTTTTGTTTTGGTTTGGTTTGGTTTTTTGAGAGGTTTTACTGTAGGGCACATGTACTTGCCAGAAAGACAGAGAGACAGAGAGACAAAAAGCAAGAAATCACACCCCCCCCCTCCCAGGGGGATGGCCATGCTGCAATCCCTTCTCCTCCATTCTCCTCTCGGGATCTTGGGCATGCACGCACACGCACCCGGTGTGAGTTTAAGGCACCAGGTCCGGGACTCAAACCATAGTCGAATACATAGGAGTTCAGCAACATAGCCATTACACTAGCTGCTGGGCCCTCATCTGTGTTTTTAAACAATCCATACTCACACAATTTTAGGTACATGAGAACTTTCAGAAAGGGGACAAAAGAAACAGTTAACTGCCTGGAATGACATGCCAATGCAGAGTCCATGAAATTTAATTCTGGACTCCCTCCTGTGAGTAGAAAGGAAGGAATGATTCTGTCAGGCTCCCCTCTGAGGGGATTTCCACAGGAGGAGGGAAGCAATTGCAGATGCTCTTTACAGGCCTTCTACCCTAAGTCTATGACTCCATGAGTTTGACTATATTCATTTTTTTTTTAAGGATTATTTATCCAGGGGCCGGCAGGTGGCATGGTGGTTAAGGCGCTGGACTCCCACATGGTTGACTGCAGTTCAAGTCCTGGACCTGGCAGCTTGCTTTCTCACTCTTTTTTCTCTCTGTCTCTCTCGTGCCAAATTGAATAATAATAATAAATAAATAAAATTAATTAATTCTGAAAAAATTGTTGAATAAATAATTATTTATTCAACTTTATTTACTTATTATTTCTTTAATTTGACTAGAGAGAAACAAGAGAAAGAGAGAAAGGGAAAGTGAGAAAGCAAGCCAGCAGGTCCAGGACTCAAACCTCAGTCGGCCATATGGGAGTCCAGCACCTTAACTACCATGCCACCTGCTGGCCCTATATATATATTTTTTAAAATTTAACTTTATTTATCTTATTTAATTATGTTAATTTGACCAGAGAAGGACAGAATGAAAGAGAGAGAGAGAGAGAAAGCAAGCCACTAGGTTCAGGACTCGAACCATGGTCGCCAGGACCAGGACTCAAACCATGTGGGAATCCAGCACCTTTAACCACCATGTCACCTGCCGGCCTCCCACATATTTTTTTTAAAGAATTCTTTTATTTAACTTTATTTTATTTATTCATTTATGTATTTATTTTAATTTGACTAGAGAAAGACAGAGTGAGAAAGAGAGTGCGCAGGAAAGTGAGAAAGGAAGCCACCAGCTCTGGGACTCGAACTGCAGCTGGGCATATGGGAGTCCAGGGTCCTTAATCGCCACACCACCTGCCAGTCCTGACTGTGTTTATTTTTGACACACTTTTTCTTATTTTTATTTATTTATTTATTTTTTGGAGAGGTTTTTGCTATAGGGCACGTGCACTCACCAGAAAGACAGAGAGAGACAAAGAGAAAGCAAGAAATCCCCAGGGGGATGACCACGCTGCAATCCCTTCTCCTCCATTCTCCTCTTGGGATCTTGGACACACAGGCACACATGCCCAGCATTAGTTTTAGTCACTGGGTCTAGGACTCGAACAGTGGTCGACTACATGGGAGTCCAGCGACATAGCCATTACGCCATCTGCTGGTCCCGACACACCCCTTCTGATCGCTGGGTCTGTTTCCATATGTGTGAAGTAAGGAGTTCAGGCTGTGTTTCTCTTGGCCTCCTTTTAGCTATTACAGTTTGGGACTCTCCTGGGAGCCAGGTCTGGGTGCAGTCCTGTGTTGGGGAAATGAGGCCAGGGAGGCACGGAGTAGACATAGGTATGCCATGACACTGATGTGGGCACACAGCCCAGTAACACTCCCACTCGCACACACTGTCTTCGCTTACCTAGTTACAAACACCGGGGAACCAGCAGTTAGCGTAATGGCTATGTCGCTGGACTCCCACGTAGTCGACCGCGGTTCGTGTCCCGGACCCGGTGGTTTAAAACACACGCCGGGCACGTGTGCGTGCGTGCCCAAGATCCCGAGAGGAGCACGGAGGAGAAGGGATTGCGGCGTGGCCATCACCCCTCCCTTTTTCTGTCTCTCTGTGGCAAGCAAATGCACCCTATGGCAAAAAAAAAAAAAAAAAAAAATTTTAAAAAAAAAAAAAAAAAAAAAAAAAAAAAAAAACACCGGACAAGAAAACCCAGAAGCATTTACACACGCAGTCACCGACACTCTTCCTTGCAGTCACGTTATCATATTCGGCAATATCACCTCACACATGGTGTCCCACAGTCTGTCTCACAAAACCTCAGTCCCTTGGGGCCAGCAGATGGCATAGCAGTGATGTCACTGGACTCCCACATGGCCAACTGCAGTTCAAGTCCCAGACACAGTGATTTGAAATCACGCCAGGCACATGTGTGTGCATCCTCCAAGAACCTGGGAAGAGAATGGAGGAGGAAAAGGGATTGCCTCGTGGCCATCCTGGGGTGTGTGTGTCGGGGGGTGATTACTCTGTCTCTCCCTCTGGTGAGCACACATGCCCTAAGACACAAACGTTTAAAAATTTTTCTTTTCAATATCTCAGTCCCAGAGAACCCTACCTACCTTGAGCAGATGCGGCAATTGCTGAGTGACCAGTTCCTTAAACTCGTTGATACTGAGGCTGCCTTTCCGGCCCTCCTGCCCTGCGAAAGCAAAGAAAGTGTTGACCACTGTCTCGATGGCCGCCTCCAGCTCAGTCAGTGGCTCAGCTGCCATCAGGACCCGGGGCTGGAGCTGAGGTCCTCACGGGCTGACCTGCAGGACAGAGGACAGAGAATGTCAGGGAGCCCAGTGTCTGCTATCTGGAGCCTCTGCCTGGAGGGGTCATTATGGGAAAAAAGAGAGGGGCAGACATTGAGTTTAGGGGCGACTAGGCAAGGATTTCCATGTAGGTGGAGGCAAGGGTTCAATGCCAGAAACCCCTTCCGTAGTCTCAGTCTGGGAGTCCTCTTTAAGCATCTGTGTGAGACTCCGCTGTGCTGAACCCTCAGTCTGAAGGCTGCCCTATCTGGGAGCATGTTTTGATCTGGAAGGTCCTCCTTTGGAGTTCTCTGAGTCTGGTGGCCTCTCTGCAGGGTTTCTGTCCCCAGGGCCCCTTTCTGTGGTAGAGCCCAGCCTCAAAGGGTCATGAGGCTGTTTGTCTCCAAAGTTTGTTTGTGTTGGGATCTGGGTCTCTGCCCATCCACACGCACTCTGGCCGCGGAGCAGAGAAGCCCAGGGTCTGGCCAGCGCCCAGCTGTGGTCAGAGCGGCCAGTCTTCTATGCCCCCACCCCTGCCTCTCTTTGGGGGCCGCTGGGCAGAGGGCAGAGGGCAGAGCTGCGGACCTCACACACTCCCTGCTCCCAGTTCCCGGTGAAAGGGGTCCTGGACCGGGACTCCTCAGACTCCCCAAGCCCAGGAAGGGCTTGGTACAAGCACTAGCAGCTCCCTGGGGCAGGGAGTGCTAGAGGAAGAGGTCGTCCACTCAGCCCTCCCTGTCCTATCCACATCCCCTCCCCACTCCTGCAGGAACTATTGACTGATGTCCCCAAACCACTTCCTGAATCCCTGTCTGAGGTGGTTCTGCGGGAGGGACCTGGGAGACCAGGTATAAAAAAGGATCCCCGGGTTCCCTCCAGAATTAGGGGGCTGCGACTCACCAGGGCAGAGAGGGGGTGCAGCGAGCTGGAGCCGCGGGGCTGAGGTTTATAGACGCGGAGAGGGAGGGCGCAAAGAGCCACGCCCAGCCCCGGAGGTATCAAGTTTCCGGCGTTGATTCCAGAGAGCGACCGCCCACTCACGCCTCTTGCCCTAAGCAATTAGGCCTAGAACCCCGGCCCCCCACTCGGCCCCGTGGGTGCCCTCACTTTGGGGGAGGAGCTGTCTGGTCAGTTCGCGTTCTGTGGGGGTCATATGGTCCTATCCTTCCCAGTACTGGAGGCTGCTGCCCCATCACGCCCTACACCTTGTCAGGAAAGGGAGCTCAGCGTTGAGAATCCCCTTAGGAGACCCCACAACGGACCCTGAAGACCGAGGCCGCCACTGAGGACCCAGACTGAAACCCCACAAACAGCAGGGCATCCTGGCTGAGACCCCCACAGATGAGTCCCCAGATTAAAATCCCTCAGCGGAATCTCAGTCTGAAACCCTGCGGAGGAGCCCCCGGCTATCCGATCCCCTTCCCTGTCCATTCAGCACTGCCCCCCGCAGGGGTGCACAGCTGAGCTGGGTCAGACATGGCCGCCTCCGTACCTCTGCGGGGCCCTCCTTTCCCACTCCTCCCTCCTGTGCCCGCCTGCTGGTGCCCAGCAAGGGAAAAGGAGGGGCGTCAGCCAAGGCTGGGGAAGACACAGGGCAGCCTGTTCCAGCCCAGGAGACAGAGGGCGCCTCTGTCCGCTCCTGGCCCATTGCCCCACTGGGTGTCTGCTGTGAAGGGGTGGAGCCGGTGGGGAGGGGGGGTGTGCAGAGGAGGGACCGCTGAAGTCAGGTCTCCTCACACAGCTCCAGGAGCCACATCTGCAGCCTATCCTTCTGTCTGTCCAGAACCTGCTCCCACTTTGGGCCCAGGCCAACCGTGAGTAGCCAGCCTGTCCCACCTGAGCTAGGTCCCTGGCCTGGCCAGCTTAGGGGAAAGGGGCCTCAGAGGGGACCCAAGAGTCCGGCCACCATGGTGTTGCGGTGGAATTAGAGTGGGGGCAGCTGGGATTTGGAGCAGACAGGGTCTGGAAGGTGGTGACTGGGGACAGGTGAAGGTCAGAGAGGAGCTGGAAACTTAGTAAATGAGGAAGCCGGTGGCTGCTGAGCTTCCAGGCCACCTAGCCCTCCCGCATGGAGCCTAGAGTCCCCTGCCAAGGCCCCCACCATCTCTAGGTGTGGGCGAGGGGACCTAGCCCCTGCCTGCTTCCCATGGGGTAAGAAGGTTGAGCAGATACAACAGCTGTTTCTGCCATCCCCACCCAGGCTTGCCAAGAGCTCAGGTCCAAAGAAGTCTGGGGGCGGCAGAGCATAGATCCGGTGATGGCAGGAAGTGGGGGTCCCGGAGCTGTGCCCGCTCCCAGTTCAACCTTCATAGGACCTCCCCTTTGTCCACCTCTCCTTTCTTGCCCCAGACCCCCAGACTACTCTTTCTTCAATTCTATTCACCTTGTATTCCCATCTGCCCCGCCCCCAGGCCCTCTAAGCATGGCCCTCACATAAAACCCCAGGCTGCTGGGGGGCTCCAGGCAACCTCCAGGTGCCCTTTCCAGACGGGGCCAGTAACTGAGCCACCTGCATCCCTCCCTTAGGCAGCCGCTTATCCCCTTCATCAGCCTCGGCTTGGGTTCCAGCTCCCCACTGTCTCTGTGACAACCACTTCTCGTGTCCAGAGTTCAGGTGACACTCATAAGGGCCCCATTGAAGCACCGGGATGTCATCCGATCAGGGCCCATTGTCCAGCCCCCCAGGTCTGGGGAAGGCTGGAGATACCTGATCCAAGATACCTGATCTGTCCCCTGGTCCCAAATGTCTCAGGGCCATTTTTTTTTGAAATAGGCCCCCTGGCTTGACTCTTCTCTTAAAGAGACCCCTCCATTCTTCTCCTGCTCTCTCCCAGGCCCTTGAACTCCAAAGACCTCACATACCCAGTTCTTTATATCTTCCATCACACGCAGCCCCACCCTGGTCCCATCACCCAGCTGGCCTGCAGCAGGCAGGCGTGGGCAGCAGCAGGGCCAGGCCTCCAGGTCTCCCCTCTCCCTCCTTAGGAGCCCTGGCTCCAAGGAAAAATCCAGACATTCCTCAAACCCTTCGTGCCATTCCCCCATGGAAGGGATCATTGTGCAGAGAAGTAAGAGGAAGCAAACTGGAGGTGATGGAGATGTGCCCCAGAGAAGCCAAAATGGCATGTTCTGGAAAGAACATGGCCCCAAAAGGGGCCCCCAGGGGCAGATAGGAAGCTTAGAGGCAGTGAGAGTCTCCCTCCCCAAGAAGCCTTGGGCCACCCACTCAGGCAGCTGCCCCCTTCACAAGCTTCACCGAGGTACCAGAGTGGCTCCTTGCTAGGGGTGGGCAGGAGAGACAAGGCTATAGCAGTGGAGACCCCAGCCCACCACCTCCAACAGCAGAGCATGGCTGTGCTAGGCAGGCAAGGTTCAGTGTAAAAATAGAGCCAGAGGAAGCCTGTCCTGTCCTGTGACCAGCCCTGCCTGCCCCACCCTCGTCAGTCTGCCCAGGCGGCCGGCAGCCAACGTAGCTCCAGCCTTTCTCCAGCCACACCCCGACCCTGACTCCCTTTGACTGGGGTCCAGGCTGAGGGGCACCAAGAACAACAGGTCTAGGGTTAGGGCTGTTGCTGTTTTCCCTACATTGTAAAACCTCAGTGAAAGATAAATTGCAATGGGACTCGGATCTCATAGCCGTTTGGGCTGCGGGACCAGGGCCAGGTCTGAATCCCCTCTCCTAGACCCCCAGAGAGCCTGAGCCTGTCCCCCAGCTCACTTCCGCGGGGGTTGGGGGCATAGGTGCACTGCCGCGATGGGCTCTGAGCTGGAGTCGGCAATGGAGACCCTCATCAACGTGTTCCACGCCCACTCGGGCAAGGAGGGAGACAAGTACAAGCTCAGCAAGAAGGAGCTGAAAGAGCTGCTGCAGACCGAACTCTCTGGCTTCCTGGACGTGAGCGCGGAGTGGGGTCCAGGGTGGAGTGGGCCAGGGTGGGTGACTGGGACGGCCACCTTCCTGCCATCTTCCCACCCATCCCCAGCTCAGCCCAACCATCTCCCTCCTCTCACAGGTTCCTGTCCCAGGTCTTTCCAGGCTCCCTTATCCCTCTTTGGTCAAAATGCCCTGGTCCATTGATCAACTGTTAACTGCTAGGCCTTGTGTCGATCATCGTTAACAAGGCTCAAGGTCTAGAAAGGAAAGACTGACCCGTCAAGGTAAACCGTGAACTCCAGGGAGTGCACAGAGCCTTAAGAGTGGTGCCAGGAAGGGTCATGGGAGATTACTAACCTCATTCAAGTGAGAGGTCTTCTCCGATGAGGTGGCCTTGGGCCACAGAGTTCGACTAGTAGGCTATCGGGGTAAATATAGACACTTCAGTAAAAGATGTCTGCTTCTACAAAAGTGTTGAAGAAAGAAGAATCTGAGGCATGCCCGGTGGTTTCATTTGACCTGCGTGAAGACGCAGTAGAGTGGGCTACAAATGCTAACGGGGGCCGGGTTGTGAAAGAGAAGCCCAAGGATACAAGAGAAAGTGTACCACCTTTAAGGTTTTGGGGGTTTTTTGTTTTTAGAGAAATTTTTGCAATAGGACACGTGCACACGCCAGAGAGAGAAAGTGAGAAATCACCACGGGGGTTGGTATGGCCACACTGCAATCCCTTCATTCTCCTCTCGGCATTTTGAGAGCACGCATGCACACACACACACACACACACACACACACGCCCAGCATGAGTTTCAAGTCACGGGACCCTCGAACTGTGGTCAGTCATGTAGGAGTCCAGTGACATAACCGTCATGCCATCTGCTGGTTCCAATTTAAAGGTTTTAACAGACTGGATTCAACTAGCTACTTTCTAGCTGTGTGACTCAGTACATTGAACTAGTCACTCTTCATTTGTTTCTCCTCTGGAAGGAAAGTAACAAACCTACCTCATACTCTCTGTGTTAAATTTAGATTAGACAATGGTGGTAAAGCTCCCAGGGTGGTACTTGTCACATTGTAGGCGATTTATGGTCATTGATGTTAACTAGTAACACTGCCAGCTTAGAGTTTAATTCTGGGGACTGGCAGGTGCCATGGTGGTTAAGGACACTGGACTCCCACATGGCTGACCGTGATTCAAGTCCCAGACCTGGTGGCTTGCTTTCTCACTTTCTCACTCTGTCCGCCCCTCTCTGGTCAAATTAAATAAATAAATAAATAAATAAATAAATAAATGTTAAATAAAAATTTTTTTTTGGAGAGGTTTTTTGGAAGTACAAGCCCACCAGACAGAGAGAGACATAGAGACAGAAAGCGAGAAATCACCCCCCAGAGGGGATGGCCACGCCGCAATCCCTTCTCCTCCAGTCTCCTCTTGGGATCTTGGGCACGCACGCACACGCGCCCGACACGAGTTTTAAGTCACCGGGTCCGGGATGTGAACCACGGTCGACTACATGGGAGTCCAGCGACATAGCCATTACGCTAACTGCTGGTTCCCAATAAAATAATTCTTAAAAAAAAAAAAAGTTTAATTGTGTAGGCCATAGGAGCCCAAGGCTAGTTTATGTTTCTTCAAGTTCACTTATTTATTTCTTCCCTGAAAGAGAAAGGGAGTCAGCACTTCCAACAGGGACCTGACACTGGATCCACTCATAGCTTCAGCCAGCCTGGGATCACAGGCACCCACAGCAAATGCAAGATCTCCAGGGATGATGGCCATACCACAATCCCTTCTCCTGCACTCCTCTTGGGATTCTGGGCACACACGCACACACTCCCAGTCTGTCTTTTAAGCCACCAGCTCAGGACTTGAACCAAACAGTCATGTGGGATCCAGAATCTTCACCACCACACCACCTGCTAGTCCCAGAGCAGCCTTTTCTTTTGGGGGGGGGGGTGTAGAGGTTTTTGCTATAGGGCATGTGCACTCACCAAAAAGACAGAAAGCAAGAAATCACCCCCCAAGGGGATGGCCACGCCATAATCCCTTCTCCTCCATTCTTCTCTCAGGATCTTGGTTATGCACCCACTCTCACCCAGGGTGAGTTTAAGCCACTGGATCTGGGACTCAAATTGTGGTCAGCGACATAGCCATTACGCCATCTGCTGATCCCGAGCTGTCATGTTTTAATGTTGTGCCACCATCCACCCCCGCCCACCCTATGAAGTGTTAAGAGGAGAGCAGATAATCCCATAATTAGATGTAGTTCTAACTCTCACTCACCTCTGCTTCATTCACCCCCTTTGCCCCTAACTCACTTCCCTCCCTCCTCCTTCCACAGGCCCAGAAGGATGCAGATGCTGTGGACAAGGTGATGAAGGAGCTAGATGAGAATGGAGATGGGGAGGTGGACTTCCAGGAGTACGTGGTGCTGGTGGCTGCACTCACAGTGGCCTGTAACAACTTCTTCTGGGAGAACAGTTAAGCAGACAGCCCTGCGCAGCACCCTTCCCCTCCACCCTGCCAGACCTGCCTCTTCATCCCAGCTAATCCTGTCCCACACTCCTAGCCTTGCCCAGTCCCACCCTCCACACACCAAGGGCGCATGAGTAGCAGTCCAGGCCTGCAACTCGTCTTTCATTAAAGGCTCCTTTCTCGCCAGCTGTCTGATGTCAGTCTCCTCTGGGGTCAGAAAGAAAGTGGGTGAAGTAAGGATTGCTTAACCTACAACTTCCTTGTTTGGGGAGGGGTCCTGTTGGGGATAGTTCATGGTACATGACATCTTCCTACTTGAGATACACTCAAGGCCCAAGAAAGTGGGGGTTCAGGGACCAGCAGGTGGCATGGTGGTTAAGGTGCTGGACACTCCCACATGGCTAACCATGGTTTGAGTCCCGGACCTGGTGGCTTGCTTTCTCACTTTCTCTCTCTTGCTCTCTGTGTCTCTTTCTGACCAAATTAAAATGAATGAATGAATGAATAAACTTTTTAAAAAATAAAAAAAAAAAGAAAGTGGGGGTTCAAAGTTCCAGTTGGCAGTGAAGGAGCCCAGCTTTCTCAGCTATAAAACCAGAATGCCCTTACGATCTTCAGCGAATATTTACTGAGGTCCTACATGTACTAGACTTTGTGTAAGAACTGGGATTCAGCAGTAAGCAAAATAAACAAGACCCTTACCCTGACATGAGTAAAGTCCAACAAAAGATGCCAGACCATTACACACAAGCACTCCAGGAAGGAAAACGAAAGGGTCAGCGCAGGTATGGGGCACAGAAAGGCCTGGAGATGTGTTCATTCGCTCAGTTTCTTATACCTGAGCACTTTATTGTGAACTGAGCCATTCGAAAAATCCCTTTGTAGGTCAGCATCAAAATCCACAGAGGGAACCAGCAGTTAGCGTAATGGCTATGTCGCTGGACTCCCACGTAGTCGACCGCGGTCCGTGTCCCGGATCCGGTGGCTTAAAACTCACTCCGGGCGCGTGTGCATGCTTGCCCAAGATCCCGAGAGGAGAATGGAGGAGAAGGGACTGCGGCGTGACCATCCCCCCTGGGGGGTGATTTCTCGCTTTCTGTCTCTATGTCTCTCTCTGTCTGTCTGGCGAGCGCTCGCGCCCTACAGTGAAAATCTCTCCAAAAAAAAAAAAAAAAATCCACAGAGATGATGGGGCGGGCAGGTGGCGTAGTGGTTAGAGCCGCTGGATTCCCACATGGCCCACTGCGGTATGAGTCCCGGCTCTGGTGGCTTGCATTCTGTTTCCCTTTCTCTCTGTCTGTCTTTGGTCAAATTATAAAATAAGAACAAATGTAATTAAAAATAAATAATTCTTTAAAAATAAAATCCACAGAGATGGCAGGAGGGGAGGGAGGAAAAGGAATAGGCGTAGGGACGATAAAAGTCGCCCAGAAAGGACTGAACAATACTCAGGCAAATTGGGAAGAGGAAAAGGAAAACATGGACAGGCGGTGGTGGCCGGCCCAAGATCCCGGACACGTGCTCCTGGCCTTGGCTGGGGAGCTGCCGGCACTTCACAGCTGCGAACCAGGCGAACCGGGAGGAAGGGCGCACCCGTGTGAATCACCTCGACTGGTGGTCGAAAGAGACCGAGGAAAGCCCCGCGGATGAGATGCTAAGCCCCAACTGGGGAGCTGGGACCAATGAACGCAAACATTTCCGTCTCGCGGACCGAAACCCCTCCCTGCAGCACAGACTTTTAAGCACCCCCACCGGGGACTTCAGCTGGCACACGCGCCCTACGTGACGATCCCACTCGCCCCAAGCCAGGGCACGCCCCCAGGGGCGGAGCACTGCGTGAAACTGAAAGAGCGTTTGCTAAGCACCGCCCCCTTCCGGGGCTCCGCCTCTGATCCCTGCGCAGGCGTAGGGCACACCTTTGCCCGCCCCCTAGCTGTGCGCGGGTCTGACGCCGGACGTAATTGCGTCGACGCCATTTTAGCCGGTCCCACTCCGCACTGGGCGTGGCGGCCATTTTGTTTTGGACACTGAGCGGGAGTTGGCGGCAGCGGCTGTAGTGGCACAGACCAAAGACACGAAAGGGCAGGCCGGCGAGCAGGCGGATCGGACGATTAGGCGCAAAACAACGGCACACTATTTTTTCATTATGAATATTCTAAATTCTTTATCAGACATTTCCATGATTTCCATTGAACTGTGTGTGGATGAAGAGGAGTTATCCTTTTTCTTTGGAGGAGAGGTATTTTCCTGCTTTCCCATATTTCTTGTAGTCCTATAGCAATTTCTAGTCATCTGGTTGATGGTCGGTTTCTTCCCAAACTTGGAAGTTCAATCTGAGCATCGAGGAGCATGCAGAAAAGGAAACAGAAAGAGAGAAACAACAGCAACAACAGCCAAAATCAAACTAGAAACAGAACGAGAGAAGAAAAAATGAAGAGAAAAACTTCTCAATAAAAGTAAAATAATTAATATTTTTAAAAACTTCAGTAGAACCCAAAAATTAGAAAACCATGCAGTGTGCAAATTCTAAAAAGCAAAAATTAAAAAAAAGAGAGAGAGAAGACAGAGACAGAGACAGAGGTAGAGAGAGACAAAGGCAGGTACAGAGACAGGAGGCCTGAAAGGGTGCCTCCTACCACGCGAGTTTTGTGTGCTGGAGGCTGAATTATCAGTGGAAAATCTTCATTTCTGTTTCCCCAAAATGGCTAGCTCGCAGGAGCCATGAAGCTGTGTGTCTCCAAGAAGGCCTGTTCCCTTTGCCTCCCCTTTATTTCACTTTTTAATAGAAAGTGCTTACCTAACAATAAAAAGTATAGAAAGAAAATTTAAAAAGGCGTTCCTCTTACAATAACATAAAAATAATATAATACTTAGGAATTAATTTAGCTGAAGTGGTAGAAGATTTGGACATTGAAAATATTGCTGAAATAAAATTTAAAATACATAAATAAATGGAAACACATCTCATGTAAATGGATTAAAAGATTTAATGTTGTTAGGATGTCAGTACTACCCAAACTGATCTACAGATTTAATGCAATCCCTGCAAAATCTCAATGATGTTTTTGTAGAAATGAAAAAAAAGCTCATCCTAAAATTCATGTGGAATATATAGGAACGCCAAAGAACCAAAGCAATCTTGAAAAAAGAACAAAGCTGAAGAACTCATATTTTCTGATTTAAAAACTTGCTACAAAGCTATAGTAATTAAAATGGTGTGAGACCGGCAAGACATACTTTTAGACCAAGAAAACACAATGAAGAGTCCCAAAATAACCCCCTATGTATATAGTCATATGATTTTTTTGACAAGGTATTAGACTATACAGTGGGAAAAGGACAGTATTTCAACAAATGGCTCTGGGGAAACTGGTTATCCACTTTAAAAAAAGAAGAAGTTGAATCATTACCACATAACAAAAATATCATTCAAGTGGATCAAAGACCTCAATGTAATACCTAACATTATAAAGCTCTCAGAAAAAATATACAGTTAAAACATATGATTTGGCAATTATTTCTTGAAAGACATAGGCAACAAAAGAAACAATATACGAATTAAACTTTATGAAAATTTTGAAAATATGTGTACCAGGACAATATTAACAGAGTAAAAAGGCAACCCAGAGACTGGAAAAAAATATTTGTAAATAATATATATATATAAAGGAGTAATATCCAGAATATTTAGAGACAAAACCCTGAACAATCTACTTTCAAAGTGGGCAAATGATTTTAATAGTTTCTCCAAAAGAGATACACAAATGGCTAAGATGGCCCTGAAAAAATTCTCAGTATCATTTTTTTTTTGTTTTGGACACTGAGCAGGAGTTGGTGACAGCGGCTAGAATGGCACAGACCAAAGACACGAAAGGGCAGGCTGGCGAGCAGGCGGATCCGACGATTAGGAGCCAAACAACAGCGAACTAGCCTTGCAGTCTTCTGCTTACGCACCTAACCGACCGTCCACCTAGTTAACCCGTGTCCCTCCACCGTCCACGGAGGTTCGGCCGGTCCCCGGCCCTCCTGCCGCAGCTGTGGTGGCAGCCCCAGGAGGAGCACTGGCGTCCATTTCCTTCGATTCTCGGGATTTGAAGATGGCTGCACAGTCGTTTCCTTCGGTGCGTTTCCGTGGTGAGGAGGGAAGTCTCAGGGAACGGAAGGGACTGGCGGATGCGGAATGGGGTGGCGGGATGTGGACGTAGATGGGATGTGGAGAGTGGAGGCCCCAAGAGGAGGCGGCGCCCCTGCGAGGCGGGCGGGGCTGGGGTAGGGGGTGCAGAGCTAGAACCTGGTGGCGGTTTGATGGCGATAAAGATGAGAAGGCAAATTGTTCGGCGAGTTGAGCAAAATTGGCGGTCTTGACAGGGTATTGTAGTTGGTAGGGAGCTAGTTAAATGAGGACTGGGGGACTGTATGTGAAAAGTAATGGCGACTCTAAATTCTGTAGAGGGCTCTCTGGAAGCTACCTCCCAGGTGAATGTAGGAAACCTTTTCCTGCTCCTGCCCTCAGATCCCTAAACCCTTGCCAAAGCCCCTTGTTTTGAAGTTAAAAGCCAATTTTGGAACTAGATATGCCTGTCGTCCCCCGCCCCAGTTGCTCAGCTGCACATTAAAGCTCTTTGGGTAAATCATGCAGCCAGCGTTGAGAAAGGACTACTCTAGATTAAAAACCAGACTCGAGTTCTTAGCTAGATCAGGTTTTGCTATTTTGGTGACTTTGGCTGGCACGTGGCAACTTCAGAAATTTCATGGAGAGTAAGTATAAGCAAAAAGCTATGTTTTTATAAATTCTTTTTTTTTTTAAGAATTTTTTCAACTTTGTTTGTTTGTTTATTTATTTATTTAAATTTGACCAGAGAGAGGGAGAGAGAAAGAAAGCAAGCCGCCCAGTCTGGGACTAGAACTGCAGTCGGCCATGTGGGAGTCCAGTGCTCTTAACCACAACTCCACCTGCTGGCCCCATTTCCAAATTTTTTGCACCAAAATAAACTCTAGTTCTATTTTTTCCACGAACTTTTTGAAGTTCCCCCCAAACTTTCTGTCAATGACTTTGAAGTTTTTAATAATTCGAAGTAACTTTCATGTGAACTTGAGCAATTGAAATACATTTTGATGTGAAATTCAATAGCCAATGATTTAGGCTCTTTCATTCATTGTTGATTCTGGCCCTGTCCTATGGTAGAAATGAGATGGTCATTATTCTGATGTGATCATTCTTCCTATTGTTCTTTGTAGATTCTCGGGATTTGAAGATGGCTGCACAGTCAGCGCCGAAAGTTGTGCTAAAAAGCACCACCAAGATGTCTCTAAATGAGCGGTGAGGCAGCCAACAGCAACTTCAGCTCCTTCCTAAGAAAACATTACTTAAATTGGCCCTGGGGTCCAATGCACAAAATCCACTTTTAAGCTAAATACCAACAGAAGGCTACAGACCTCTGTTCTTAGTTGCATCTTATGTGGTACACAAAACAAATTGGGTTGTTTCAAAACCCCTCATCAGTAGATTTTTATGTTAAGCTGTCTGACATACTTATCTGGTGGGATGTATTTTAAAAAGACTCCTCACACCCTCCCTCCTCTTCACATTTTTTTAACATCGATACAGGGGTGGTGCAGCATGGTAGCATGGTACCTGGCTGCAGTAGGCTTGCTGCCTAGTCCAAGGCTGGCAGTGTTGTGTCTGGCCTGTAAGAGGCAGGTAGCAAGCCCATGAATATGTCCAAAGGCCCTCGAATGTCCTTCTTGGGCCTTGTAAGAGGCACTTGCTTTGCTCCATTTCACTTTCTTTCCATTCTGCTTTTAGTTTGTTTTTGTTTTGGAATCCTTTACAGTTAAGTGTTCTTCTCTTCCATTTTGTTAAAGTTTCTGTAGTAAGAATAATAGGGCAGTATTTTCACAGACTCTTAAATTACTGGACTAATTTAACTTTTTCAACCTTAATCACTTGGAGTCAGAAAAAGTGATCATTTGAGAATAAAAAAAGATAAAGAGTTTCTGTCTCAATGTTTTTCTTTATTGCATTTGGCAAGTGATTTTATTAAGATGTTAGACCATTAAGAGGTTTATTGTATACTTGTGCCTCTTCTGAAGCATACATGCTTCTCTCTTTTTTTGGACATGATATGTTAATTATTTATTATTCACATGTTATTAAATGGCAGATATATTTAAAAACATGATACACTCTTATTCGTGTGGGTGTATTATTTCCATGGATATTGAAGATGCTGTAATACTTCCTCATATTTACTCTTAGAATGCACCCTCAGGTTCTCCAAAGTCTGGGCTTTCTGTTTGTCTTTGAAACTACATCTTCTGTCTCTTGTCATCATATCTGCTTATTGCGTGTTTTTCATACCTTCCACCTCTCTAAGAGCTGTTACCTGAGCCCTTGTTATCACTTTTGATTGAATGTGCTGCACTTAGCTGCATTTCTAAGTTTCTGATTCTTGCAAGTTTGTGGAAACAGAGGAGTCTTTAACCCACATCAGCTTTGATCTAAATGTACCACTTTACTTAAAAGTTCGTGGGATCTGGAGCTCCTGGTCTAGCAAGCCATGAAAATGCCAATAAATGTTTTGTAATAAAGCTTTTATTTAAACATCCATTTTGTTCGACCTTGAAGCTTTACTAATATGCTGAAGAACAAACAACCGATGCCAGTGAATATTCGGGCTTCGATGCAGCAACAACAGCAGCTAGCCAGTGCCAGAAACAGAAGACTGGCCCAGCAGATGGAGAATAGACCCTCTGTCCAGGCAGCGTTAAAACTTAAGCAGAGCTTGGGAACCAGCAGTTAGCGTAATCAGGCAGCATTAAAACTTAAGCAGGTGAGAGAATGGGTCTTAATTCTCCAGAAGCAGCCGGTGATCTGTGTCAGGCAGTCCACTGAGGCTGTCTGGACGTGATGGATGATGGCAAGGTGGCTCAGGGCAGAAGCTGAAACTTCTCTGAAAGAGTAGTTCAGAGAATTCCAATTTTGACAGGTATTGATAAGTTAACTTTTTCATTGTCTTTCTCTTTTAGGGAGTTTGCCATCTATGTGGCCTGTTTGTGCTATCAATGAGTATTAATCGCTTGTTTTCTGATCCTTTACCCTTAGATTAACTGCTTTTTATTTTGTCTTCCCTAGCACAGGGAATCTAAATGGCCTTAGTCAGAACAGATTTTTTTGCTACAATATGGAAAGAATAGAGAGACCCTCACTTCCACAGTCCCTAAAGTTGTATCAGTAAAGTGGAGTGAGAGCATTGAGTAGTGAATTAAGTGTTAGTGGGTTCTCTTTCAAGTTTCCAGTAAGAGATCATCCTATTCAGACCTGAAATAAAACCTGCTCTTTATTATTCATAGACTTTTTATGCAAGTCCGGACAGTGGCTGTGGAAGGATATGTCCAAGCTGTGGCTGGGCGTCTGGAGGGCGGTGCCATGCAACTGTAAGGATTTTAACTGGTAGCACTGCATGGCTGTGCATAAATTCAGTAGTTAAATATAGCACCCTCCTACCCCCACACTGAACCACTGGGCTCACTGACCAAAAATAAACAAGGCTTTTTGCTTCAGTTACTTTAAGCCTTGGAGTGATTGGATTCGTCACTGACTCAGAAAAGCAGAAAAAGGCACCACCACTTTTCAAAAGTAAATAAAAATGGATAAGTCCTTTAACAAGTAATTCCAAAGAATATTTCAGTGAGTTTTAAATATACCCTGTGCAGAAAGTAGCCTCTAAAGCAGTGCTGTCCAGGATAATAGCCACTAGCCACATGTGGCTATTGAGAACTTTAATATGGTTAGTTCATTTGAGGAGGTTTTTTTGTTTGATTTAATTGCCAGAGGGTGTGTGCAGTCTTGAGAGAGAGAGAGAGAGAAAGCCCTGCCCAGTGAGGCATGATCTAGCTAGTCTTTTTCTCCATTCCATTGGGATCTTGGACACACAAGTATACCTGCCCAGCATGTTCCACAAGCCACCAGGGCTGGGTTTCAAACTGGTCGGCTTTTGGGGGTTCTGTTCCCTCAACTACCAGGCTATAGGGCTGACCTGAGGAGCTTAACTTTTTTCTTTATTTTTTTCTTGTAGTTTTTGGTATAGAGCACATGCGCTCACCTGAGAGCAAGAGATGGCCATGCTGCAGTCCTCTCTACTCCAGTCTCCCTTCAGGATTTGGGGGTACACACACACACACACATGGGCCTGGTGTGATCTTCACTGGGTCCAGGATTAGAACAGTATAGCTGGCCACATGGGATCCAGTGTCTTAACCTCCTTGTCACCTACTGGCTCTGAGGAGCTTAATTTTTCTTTAAAGAATTATTTATTCAATTATATTTTATTATTGTTATTTTTTAATTTGACTGGCTGAGGGGGCAGGTGAGAAAGCAACCCTCTAGATCTGAGACTCAGACTTCAGTCGGCCATGTGGGAGTCCAGTGCCTCAACCACCACGCCACCTGCTGGCCCCAGGGAACTTAATTTTTTTTTTTAATTTTGTTTATTTATTTATTTTAAAATTTTTGTCATAGTGTGCTTGCACTCGCTAGAGAGACACAGAAATAGTGATAGGGAAAGTGAGAAATCACCACCCAGGGGGGAATGGCTGCACTATAATCCTCTCTCCTCCATTTCCCTGGGACTTTTAGGCATGCATGCATGCATACACACTGCCATGATTTTCAAGCCACCAGGTCTGAGACTCAGACCGTGGGCAGACATGTGGGAGTCCAGCACTGTACTGCCACATGCCACCTGCTGGCCCCTGATTATGTCTTTTTTTTTTTTTTTTTTTTTTTAGAGGTTTTTGCTATAGGGCGTGTGCACTCACCGGACAGAGAGATAAAAAGCAAGAAATCACCCACCGGAGGGGATGGCCACACCGCAGTCCCTTCTCCATTCTCTTCTCGGGATCCTAGGCACGCATGCACACACGCCCGGCATGAGTTTTCAGCCACTGTGTCTGGTACACGAACCGCGGTCGACTACATGGGAGTCCAGTGACAGCCATTATGCTAATTGCTAGTCCCGATTTTGTCAGTTTTTAATTAAATAGCTTTATGTGACTGGTGGCTAACTTACACAACATAGTTCTAGAGTAGGAACTAAGTGGTATAGTTGATGGCTGAAGTTTCCTATCAGTGTTAGAGGCCATTATTGGTGGCACCTAAGGATTGAGATGAGAGCAGAACTCAGCACTGTAGTCCTTTTCTGAATACAGGAGAGTGAAGGTACTAGGGATAACTGAACACAGGTCTTGTTTGTGACCTCGTTGCTGTATGCTAATTAGAGTGTCAAGACAGGCCCTTAAGGTTGGTTGTACCTGCCCATGCTAGGTACAGAATGTTCAAAGACTTCCCCCTCTGGTTAGCAGCAATTTATTATGTCGTGCTACAAAACTAGTAACAATGCCTCACAGCATGTTTTTAAGAGAGATCATTGCCCCATGTACACCAAGGAGAAAACTTTGGTAATAGCTTATGGGTGGAGTTTGAGGACACCGTCTATTTTATTCATATTAACTAAGGGCTTTATAGAAAAACAGACTTGCAAGGGTCATTGCATTCAAGGCCATACTGTCCCCTTTTCCTTTGAAGGAATTTAATTCTCTGAGATGTGATTTTCTTGATATCTCTTTGAGGAATAGATCATTGAAAATTTTTGTCTCTGTGATGTGTTCTTGTCCTTACATGTGACCCTGAGTTTTTGATAATAGCTTATTTGTTTTAATTCTAACATAAGTTTGGCTCTATAAATAGATAAATTTGGGTTATATGTTTATTTGAATTAAAGGTCATACTAGCTTAAAGAATCTGTTTTCAAGGGTAGACTTGGAATTATTATGGGTTTTTTTAAAGAAATGAAAGAAGGTTTGACTTTCTTGTGTTTATTTGCATCTTAAGGTAAAAAGTGGACCGTCTGGAGATAGATACTCAAAGGAAAAATGGAACACACTGGCCTCTTTGACTGAGAAATCAATCTTGTTCTTAAGTCACAAGAACTCAAATGAACTTGTAACTTAAATTTTGCCCAGAGTGTGATGAACTTCCTATGGTGTTTGAGTAAGCCTTTGAAGACAGTGGTAGTCCTTGGGCAGGTATGAATCAAGTCATATCATTGTCAACCTCTAGTCAAAAAAGAATCCAGGATTGAACTATGTAGTGTTCTTACTAAAATTTAAGTCCATTTGGCAGTGTATGACTGATGCAGCCCAACCAGTGAGGTATTTGTGGTGATGCCAATTTCATGGAACTATGTTCCAATTTAAGAGTTTCTGCTTTGGATCAGAATTCTGCTGCTTTTATACCGTGTTTTGAGGCAAAGGCTTGCTTCTAGTTTGGGATCCTATGACACCCACAGCAAGGTTATTTCCCTCCACACCAGACATCTCACTTGCTTCTTTTTCTCTGCACTTTGAATTGCCAAATCCCACCGGATTGCTTTTTTGATCTCAATCCCGTAACACCTTTTCTTCCAGAAGAGCTTAAAGCAGCGCCTGGGTAAGAGTAACATCCAGGCACGGTTAGGCCGACCCATAGGGGCCCTGGCCAGGGGAGCAATCGGAGGACGAGGCCTGCCCATAATCCAGAGAGGCTTACCCAGAGGAGGACTACGTGGGGGACGTGCCACCAGAACCCTCCTTAGGGGCGGGATGTCGCTCCGAGGTCAGTGCTGTGTACCTGGTCGTTGTTAGGCCCAACCCCCTTCCCTTTTCTCTTGAGCTGCTTATGGACACATTTGTTTAGCATCTTTAAGCCTGAATTTGAATTAATACAATAATAACTTTCTAAATCACATATTTTTAATAGTGCTGCATGTCTTTTATCGATACCATTCATTTTCTGATAATGTGCAGTGGTGAGAGGCTATGACCTGCGTAACAACAGGTAATTCATGTCATCTCCATTTCATTTGAAAATACCCTGCTGCTGCTTGAATCAAAGCACATTCAAGTTATTCAAGTTCTATTAAGTCAAATCAAAGAAACATATGGGTCCTTTGACCTATATCTTAATGAACCATCTGGGTGTTTCTGGTGCTAGTGAACACTTATATCTGGGGGAAAAAAAGGACAAGTTGACCCATAGCATTTACCTATATTTTACATTTTGGGCACTGTTCCATTCATTCCCTATATAGTCCTTGTTCCCTACAAGAATTAATTGAGAGAGGAACTGTAGCATTTGTTTTAAATCTGTAATGCTAGGCATCTATCTCATTATTCGATAGATACTTATTAAATGTGTGTACTTACCAATTAACTCCCAGCTTCTTCCAAAATGAATTTGTGGTCAGATGTGTTGAATTGATGAAAGAGCACTTTAAATCTGTTCACACAGTGTGCAAGCTACTCCACCCAACTTAAAAATTAATTGACTTAACTCTCATTTAACCCTCACCGCCTTCCTTTGGTTAGAATCTACTTTGTCTCTCTTGGATTTACCTGCATATACATTGTATGCCTCCTCTCCAAGGTCAAAACCTGCTCCGAGGTGGACGAGCCGTAGCTCCCCGAATGGGCTTAAGAAGAGGTGGTGTTCGAGGTCGTGGAGGTCCTGGGAGAGGGGGCCTAGGGCGTGGAGCTATGGGTCGTGGCGGAATCGGTGGTAGAGGTTAGTCAGCTACCAACTTCAGAGAGTAGCTCCCCCTCTATTTCCTTCCCTTAAAAACTCAGAGCCACCTTTCTGCACAGCTTCGAGTCACAGGCAGGCTTGTTTGTTTGTCTTGTTATGTTTTTGAAACTGGCTAATTTTCTAAATTCACATGCTGATAGTTCAGAAGGCTATTAATTTTATTTATTTATTTAAAGAACAAGTAAGGTACATATAACCCAGGTTATATTTTCCCCCAGCTCTTGCAAATTCAAATTGTGGAGTTTTACTTTCCTCTGTCTCTGTCCCACCACCACACACCACCCAATATCTCAAAGTCCCAGTTTGAGATAGGTAAGAATGGAGAAGAGGGAGATGTGAAAAAAATGAAGCATCATTAAATAGGGTGGTGAGACGTGGAGCTGGACACTGGCTATAAAACCAAGTAAATTTGATGTAAATTTTGTGCCTTTGGGGAACCAGAGGTGACTTTTTTGATCAAGGTAGAAAGTAAGATGGTATTATTGTCAGTTAACTAACTAGCTCTTGTTGTTAATCTTACCTTTGAGACTTACTGTTACTTGTTTTGTGACCTCATGACCCAGAATGGAAAAGAGTTTAATGGTGTTACTGTTAATGGTGTTACTGCCAAATCCCGTGGGAGCTTTCTAGCTTAGGGCTTAGTGGAAAACTCCCAGCAACACCTGTCTGGGGTGGGATGGGGGAGGGACTAGAAGTCCCTGTGTATATCTGCTTTGGTCCTTTTAAAGTGTGTGGTGGGTCTTCCGTAATTTATAATCTTGAAATTGCCAAAGAATAATAATAACTGTGAGGAAAGAAATTTGATAGCTGAGGGCTTACTTTCTTTTCTCAAATTATAGGCTATTTAGTTTATTGAGTGAAGTATAAGTTTCAGAATGAAATAACATGTTTCTAAATGATCTTTACTTGGTTTCTGAGAGAGACATCAAGGGAGTGGGAGATACTAAAGTAGCTTTTCAGAAAGCTGGATATGTTTTGTTAAGTGACTTGAAACTACCTTTCTGATACCATGATTGTCCTGAAGTGACTAGAATCAGATGGTGGCTAGGCCTACTCAAAATATTTTTTCCCTAGTCTCCCCACATTGTTCCTATGTCACAGCAACTCTTACTAAGTCTCCTGACACATGAGGTCAGCTCATTAGATTTAAGTTTAAGGAGAGATAACTTTCTAGAATGGTCTCCCAATAAAGCATAATTTGAAAACTACCTTTGAACCCTTAATTTTCTCTGACCTGTCACTGCCTCCCTATATAGAGTTATCTATAACATTTTAATTATGATTTTTTTTAGTGAGTCTTAAATTTGAGGTAATTTTTTTTGTCTTCATAGAGATTAACTTTTTTTTTTTTTCAAAGTTACAATGGTCACCTAATTTTCCCTTTGATAGAATTTTTTTTTATTTAAATAGCATTTAGAAATAAGCATGTAATAAGGAATTCATTATGTGTGCTTTCCATGTGTTGCTTTCTACCCAATGTGTTTCCTGTTCTTTCAGATTTATCCTCCTCTTTGCCCTGCCCTTCAGCTTTTCTCAGCTAGGCCCCACTGCTCTAAGGGGCATTTACCATGACATCCATTAAGCCTACTTGTAACTGTCTTCTTTTCTTTTCCTTGGACCAGGTCGGGGTATGATAGGTCGGGGAAGAGGGGGCTTTGGAGGCAGAGGCAGAGGCCGTGGACGAGGAAGAGGTGCCCTGACTCGCCCTGTATTGACCAAGGAGCAGCTGGACAACCAGTTGGATGCATACATGTCGAAAACAAAAGGACACCTGGATGCTGAGTTGGATGCCTACATGGCACAGACAGATCCCGAAACCAATGACTGAAGCCTGCCCACCCTCCTGTGAGAGACTCCTATTAAAAAGTCACCACATCTGTAAATAACCTTGGGATGATGGAGAAGAAATCTGATTGATGCTGGAGGACCTATCACAATAGGCTGTGGACTTACTTGCCACCAGTTTGTGCATTTAGTATGTTCCTTTTACTTTTTGATACTGTGTTGTGTGAAACACTTTTTTGATTTGGTTGGTTATTTATTTATTTTTTTTCGCTCAGACTTCTCTTTGAATATGAATGTGTTGGCCTTCTGGCTAGAATACCCTCTCCCTACCTCTGCCACCCATCACCTATTAAATGCTCTGACATTCTAACATTTTTTTCTATTCCTCTCTGTGCCCCCTTAAAAGGGTACCAGAAAAAGCCAGTGTTCCTCACTAGTGCCTGGATTTCTGACAGTTCTATACCCTTTGTAATAGCCTCTTAAATGTCTGGGCTCAAAATATCCTACTACATTGATAATATAGGCTACTAAATTGAGAACATTGAAGTTGCTACAAGTCCATGAACAGCTTACATGTGTTAGCAGCTCTGATCTGATTAAAGTTACGACATTTATATTGACACCACATAGGTGGTGACCAGCATGTTAGGTTGGATATGTGTACTTTCTACTCTCCAATGAGCTTTATAAACTTTTATCTAGGTTTTGTATTACATCGGGGTTACTGTTTGGCTTACACCTACAGTATAGGGGAAGAAGCCATTTGGTTTCACAGATACATCAGAAGAGAGAATAGTGAGATTGATGGCAGACTGGCCACTGGGAGGCGTCAGAAGATACACA